AAAGAAAAAAAAAAGAGGTGTTTTCTTTGGACTTCTATGCTGTTACTTTAGTTTTGAGGAAGTAAAAATACAAAGCAAGCACAAGCTTATTGTACCTAAGTAAGAAAAAGTGTGGAAAAAATGTGCTGGATGTCAACTTTAAGAATTCCTAGCAATGATTGTGCTGGCTAGAGATTCGAGAATTTGAACTCCTGAGGGCAGCAAGTTTGGGGAAAATCAATAGGTATTCAGTTTAGTTCTGGTATTCCATGATAACATATTATATATTCACAATACAGTATCATGTAACATTCGAGATGGCGAACTTTCTGGCAGTGAAGGAAAATTGCTTTTTCCTGAATTCCCCAAGCAATTTTATCAGAATAATCAGTAAGTAGTTGAAATACAAATATTTGTTTCTTTGTCATTCCCTAGACCAGGGTTTCTCAACTTCAGCAACTTTAAGATGTGGGGACTTCAACTCCCAGAATTGGGAGTGGCTGGGTGGGGAATTCTGGGAGTTGAAATCTACACATCTTAAAGTTCGTAACGTTGAGAAACCCTGCTCTAGACCCAATTACCCTGGATTGTTGTATAAATCCCATCTCAATCCATACTGTATTGCAGCAAAGTTATTTATTTAACTGGAATTCTTCAATTATGTAAACACTAATAGAGTGGCAAAATTTGGAAGATTAAAAGTATGAATTGATTCATACAATACATTAAGGGCATTTTCTCATGACCATATTCATCTGCATTCCTCTCACCCTTAATTTGGCAGAAAAGTACACAGGAGTTTGGTACTGTCCTTACAGATTTAATGCAGTGCATGTTTATGGAAAATGAATAATGGATTCCCATAGCTTCACTTCCTCTCCAACTGAGCACCACCTGCTAGTGGGAAAAACTTTTATCAACTGCTCTCTTTAACCTGGGATGGTGCTGTGGTTGAGGAGGAAGTGAGTTTTGAAAGACAAGTAGACGAATTTGAACAAATTTGCTCTGTATTCATGCAAGCTTTTTGCATGGGTTCATTCAAAGGAGCCCAGCTATCGGTTAATTGCCAAACTCCTTTGGCAACATAAAGATATGTCCTTTTAAAATGGTTAGTGAAGCATCTGTAGGCTATGGTTAGCAAGATGTGAGGATGATCCCTAAACTTTAATGTAGTTTGTTTGTGTTATGCAAACCCAGATATTGTGATTTGTAAATAATGGGTTTGAGTTTATGCAAACCAAACTGACTGTGGTTTATCTACTAAACCATGGTTAAGCCAACAAGGCTTAACAGATAAATAAAGTATGTTTGTGTACAGAGTTATTCAGCAAATAAAGCAAGCAATGAACCTTCCTTTAAAAATGTATTGTGTGACTATGACTTCTGTTTATGTCAGGCCCGGCCCAAGAACAACAGGGAAACAATGTAGTTGAGTTCAGTTCCTTTATTTGCTTACACCATATAGACAGAATCTTGCCAGATTAAATCTATACTACAACAGCTAGTGGAGGTACCCTGGGAGATTCTAGGGAGTGGCTATCCTGAACCTCTTTTGCTTCCCACGCTCCATCTCTGGACTGTGTTGTCTTTTGTCTCCTTGCCCTTCCTGGAACGTACCCCTCCTTCCTGATAACCTTGATCTCTGTTGCAATCCACCACAATTTATCTTAGGTAGTACTAGACACTCTGAGTACACATACTAGAGGTTTTTTTAACTACAAAATTGCACATTCATCCTTTCATAATTTATGCACATTCAACAACTTATTTACCTTATCTTTAATTAGGCAGTGAAATTTTTCCTAGGCTGTTTTAATTAATTTTTTCACAAGCATATCTAAAATCTCACTGGGTTTCTTTAGAGATCTTAAATTATTATGTGTGTGGAAGGGGTTTATGTGTGTTTAACTGGATTTCAATATAATATTCATGGGGGGGAAACAAAATTCCTTTTTGTTTTATCTATGGTATTGTGCACCTGTGCTTAATTAATTTGTTAATTGTCAACTAGAAATCACTCCAGGATTTTTCAATCTAGGCTCTGCATTTGGACTTTATCTGTTCCACAAGGGAGGCATATAGTATTGAATTTTTCCCACTTTGATGTGGAGCCAGATACATTCTGTGACTATGATTCCTTGTCAGTGATTTCTATGGATGATAGGCTCCTTGGTAAGTTTCTTCTTCAAAAGGTATTATCACAAGCTGGCTTCTAATTAAAAACAGAATATTCTGCTCTTGTTGACAAATTGCATATGATTTCCTTGACCATCAAAACAACTCACCACTCAACAGTTAGCATTACTTGATACTTTATTGAACTGAATGACCACCAACCACCTACAAAGAAAATTTAACTCTGTGGGTTTTATGGCATGGAAAGAAAAATCTCTGTCTCTGTATGTGTATGTACAGTATGTATATGTATATGTATAGGTGTGTGTGTGTGTGTGTGTGTGTGTATTCCTCTATAGTTAAGGTGGCAAGAATGTTTCCGCCTAGGGCCACAAAATTTTTTGTTTTTGTTAGCCTCTGAAAGTTGCAAAGGATGAGGTACTACTTTTGGATGTGGTCAGATCCAAAGTTCCCCATCTTTTATTCTTTTATTCTTGTTCACTGTTGTATTGTTTTTATGTTTCATTTGTGTTATTGTGTTTTATGTTTCATTTGTGATCCCACTCAGAGTCATTGGATGTTTGGGCGATGTACATATTTTAATAATAATAATAATAATAATAA